CTCTTTTCCCGAAGGGGCAATGGTGGGGCCCAAAAAACCCCCCGGGGGGGGGGGGGGGGGAGATACCCGAAGGGGGTTTAAAACAGCCCGGAGGCTGAGAGATATCCCATTGCTCTGGCAGCTGTATAAGCATCTCGATCACCCTAGGCCATGTAAAAAGGTAAGGCCTCATTGTTCCTCAAAGGGGAAAAAGTCCCCGCTAGTGTCGTCTTGAAGATTCTTTCGCCGCTTCCTAGGCAGAGTGGCAATGGGTCCCAATTGGAGAAGCTGCTTCTCCGAAAAAGTCTTCGAAGTTCTGGGTTATCGCTTGGATAGATTAACTGTAACGGAGGGTGCATCTTGTTCTGATCTCATGACACTGAAGGTAACCCTCTTCTCAACAGGTGATTTGTTGCTAGGGTCAATTATCCTCTTGGAGATCTCTTCCATTTGTTGAAGTTCGGTATGAGAAGGCTGTGTTGGTTGGTTAGTCTTGATCCCCTTATCCAGCACTTGAGTAGGGGGCTCCGACGTGGCTTTTGGTTTATTCCTCTTCCTTCGAGTCACAAGGTTCCAGGTCCCATATGAGTCCTCATCCTGCTCATCACATCCAAAAGGGCCATTCGAGGATGGCATTCCTGGCCTAGGCGGAGGATCAGTCACGGGAAGTCTACTAGAAGGAGTTTTGGCGGGCTATGTAGCGTTTCCACTAGTTTCGGACAGCCCCCTACCTTGGTTTTTGGACGTGCAGCTGCTCCTAAGGTGGACAATCGCCCCACAATCAAAACAGAATTTAGAGAGGCCTTCATACTCCACGCGCTGAAAGAATCTGCCATGAATGCCATTGATCCACACTCCCGGAAGGAGCTTTTGCGATAGGTCAATCCTAACACAAATGCGAGCGAAAGATGACCGCACCCACTTGCTCGTATGCGCGTCCATCCATAACGGCTCCCCAAGTGAGTTGGCAATACGGGTGATGTTGTTGATGTCCCAATAGATCAGCGGGAGCTGAGGTAACCGAATCCATATTGAAGACCGGAGTCCATGGAGAGAGTTCGGTGAGCAGGTAGAGTCCCACCTGTCCATGCCAATGATATTGCCCGCAATAATCCAAGGGCCACTAGAAAGCACGACATCCCTTGTCTCATGGCTTTGGAAGATGCAAATGAAAGTATTCGGGTCTATTGTAACAACCTCGAACTCACCGAAGTGAAACCATCGCCTCTTAAGTTCCTTAATCAAGAAGGGGAAGGAGATACGCCTTCCCATGAGCTTGGCTACAATAGCCATGTCCAACTTGGCAATGTTGTCTTTGACAGAGTCGATTTCGGGTTCAATGGTAGTTCCGTCCATAGTAATGAACTGATCACGTGTCATCTTGCCAAGGGGCACATTTTGAACCTTGTTCCATGCAAAGGGGCCGGGTACAGGGCCACTAGGCTGCCATGGAGAAACCTGGGAGGTCTGCGGTTGCAGCAGAGCTATGTTCAGGCCCTTAGTGACATTAGCACAAACACCTTGTGTGCTTAATTCTACAGCATGCTGTTCGGAGGAGGCTGTACCAAGAGGCTGTTCACACCTATTGCTAATAGGATTGAGCACCCATGGAGCAGCGTCCATGTCCTCCATCTGTCTATCTTCGTCCACGATGGGGCCATGATCTATGCAAACCTGTTGCTCAGCGACTTGGTCCAGGACGTGTTATTGGAGGAGCCCCACTCCTTCGTAGCTTGCATAGATAAACCAGTGTGCTGGACGGGCACAAGCCTCTGGTCAGCAACTATCCTCGAGAAGAAATCTTCCTCCCCTCTAGCAATCTGTATTTCGCTGGTACAGGCATCCCCCCGAGCAGTATCCTCCGGGCATTCATCTTCCATCTCAGTGCTAGAGTCAGGACACTCACTGGATTCCTCCATACCATTGTCTGGATTGCTCTCCCGAGAAGAGCCAACCTCCACGTTGCTACAGGCCCTCTCCATGTCATCTCCCGAGATAGCTCCTCCCTATCAACATCTTCCACCTCCTGCTCCTTGCAGTAGATAAAAGGTCCCTGCCGTGCAGATCCCGTCACCGTGGCCATCCTGCGCTCTCGACTCTGGCTAGACGGAGGCGAGAGGCCAATCGTGCTCATAATAAGCTCCCGAGCAGCTGGAGACTTCACGGAAAGGGAAACAATCCCAGGATCAAACCTTCCCTCTGGTTGCTCAAACTTGGTGACTAGCTCTTCCCTGGAAACATCCACCGAGCTTTTCGGGCCAGCTCCCCTTGTTGCATCGTGGTTATTCTCCTTCCCTGGCCGAGAGGAACTGGTCGGCCTAGTCCCTTTCTCCCCCCAAGCTCCAAGAGGAGCCGCCCCTCTGTTCGGGTTAGCCGAGAAGCGGCCTATACCGGGAGACTTGGACGCGAGCCCCATTTTGCCTTTGGTCGTTGATGGCTCACCACCTCCAGCCTCCTCATCGGCGAGCACCTGCCACCGATTTCCATACTTGCCCTCCTTCGCCTTTACCACCATTCCCCCCATTTGGAGGAGGTGACCTAGGGCCACCCCCTCTCCCCATCCCAGAGCTTCTCTCACTAAAACACTCTAGTGAGAGAAAGAAAAGGGAACAAATGAGAGCATTAGGAGAGAGCAGAGAGAGAGAGAGAGTAAGAGTGAGAGAGAGAGGGAGAGATAGAGAGAGAGAGATAAAGCAAGAAAGAGCAAGGGAGTGCAAGAGAGATAAAGGGGGGGGAGAGAGAGAGAGAGCTGAATATTGCATATTGCATTGATCAATGAGAAATAAAAAACATACAAAGTATGGGACTAATATTGTCTCCCCTAGACAAAACCAAAGCAAAAGTGGGGAGATCTAGACCGTTAAAAAAGACAATACAAGTATGATAACACAAAACAAAGGCACCAAAAACAAGGAGAAGCCCCTTTGATTCCTAAGGAGGCCTACCCCAAATACATGTCCTAGTAGTTCCAAAGATGCTTAAGGAACAGCTCCAGAGGGTGGAGATACCTAAAGAGGGGTTAAAACAGCCCGGAGGGTGAGAGATATCCCATTGCTCTGGCAACTGTATAAGCATCCCGATCACCCTAGGCCATGTAAAAAGGTAAGGCCTCATTGTTCCTCAAAGGGGAAAAAGTTCCCGCCAGTGTCGTCTTGAAAAAGACAGAGAGAGAGAGAGAAAGAGAGAGAAAATAGAGATAGCAAGTGAGAGCAAGCTAGAGAAAGAGCAAGCTAGAGAAAGAACAAGAGAGAGTAGGAGAGAGCAAGGGAGAGAGCAAGAGAGAGAGGGAGAGAGACAGATAGCGAGATAGATAGATAGATAGATAGAGAGAGAGAGAGGGAGAGAGATAGAGAGAGGGAGAGAGAGAGAGAAAGCAAGAAAGTGCAAGGTAGTGCAAGAGAGGGAGAGAGAGTGGGGAGAGAGAGAGAATAAGATAGAGAAAGAGCAAGCTAGAGAAAGAATAAGAGAGAGCAAGAGAGAGAGAGGGAGAGAGAGTGATAGATATATAGATAGAGAGAGAGAGAGCAAGCTAGAGAAAGAGCAACCTAGAGAAAGTACAATAGAGAGCAAGAGAGAGCAAGGGAGAGAGCAAGAGAGAGAGAGATAGAGAGAGAGAAAGCTAGAGAAAGAGCAAGTTAGAGAAAGAATAAGAGAGAGCAATAGAGTGCAAGGGAGAAAGTAAGAGAGAGAGGGAGAGATAGAGAGAGAGAGCGAGATAGATAGAGAGAGAGATAGAGAGAGAGAGGAAGAGAGAGAGGGAGAGATAGATAGAGTGAGAGAGAGAGAGAGCAAGCTAGAGAAAGAATAAGAGAGAGCAAGAGAGAGCGAGGGAGAGAGCAAGAGAGAGAGAGGGAGAGAGAGTGAGAGATAGAGAGAGAGCAAGAGATAGAGAGAGAGAGCAGGAGAGTGAGAGGAAGAGAGGGAGAGAGAGCAAGTGAGAGCAAGCTAGAGAAAGAGAAAGCTTGAGAAAGAACAAGAGAGTGGAAGAGAGATGGGGAGAGAAAGAGAGAGAGAGGGAGAGATGGAGAGTGAGAGAGAGAAAGAGAGAGAGTGAGAGCAAGAGAAAGCAAGGGAGAGAGTTAGAGAAAGAGAGCAAGAGAGAGAGAGAGAGAGCAAGAGAGAGTAAGAGATAGAGCAAGAGAGAGAGAGAGGCAGAGAGAAAGCAAGGGAGAGAGTTAGAGAAGGAGAGGAGGAGAGAGAGAGAGCAAGAGAGGGTGAAAGAGAGAGAGAGATAGGGAGTGAGTTAGAGAAAGAGAGCAAGAGAGAGAGAGAGTGAGCAAGCTAGTGAAAGCAAGGGAGAGAAAGAGAGAGAGAGAAAGTGAGAGCAAGCTAGTGAAAGTGCAAGCTAGAGAAAGAATAAGAGAGAACAAGAGAGAGCATGAGAGAGCAAGGAAGAGAGCAAGAGAGAGAGAGAGAGAGATAGATAGAGAGAGAGAGAGAGAGAGAGAGAGAGAGAGAGAGAGAGAGAGAGAGATAGAGAGCAAGGGAGAGAGCAAGAGAGAGGGAGGGAGAAAGAGAGAGAGATAGATATATATATATATAGAGAGAGAGAGAGAGTGCAAGAGAGAGAGAGAGAGAGAGCTGAACTTCTGCATTTGCATTCATCAAGATAAAATAATTACATCAAGCAAAAATAAAAAGGGGCAAAGAACCCATAATCTAAAGCAAAAGAACTACTATCATCCTCAAGAATATCTAAAAATTCTTGAGGAATACATATATTTCTATCTCCTATATCCCAAAGGAAATCTTCCTCTATTGCTCTATGAGCACAGTAGTGTGCCGCCATATTAAACCTTCTGTAGGTATGCACAAAAATAATGTGTTGGAATGATCTCAGCCAGCTCCAATCTTCAGCATCTTCATACTTTTGCTTCCAAAGTCTTTTAGCTTTAAAATTCTGCATAAATTCAATAACAGATGCATTATCACCCTCCACAATGATCCCCTCATGCTCAAGCATCCAGTCCAAAGCAAGCTTCCCTTTATATTGAATGGCCAACATCTCAACTTGACCACTGTCCCAATGGCAAATACTCCATCCAGCCGTTACCAGCAACTTCCCAAAATTATCCCGAATCACAATTCCCACTCCACCTACATTAGATCTTAACAGATCACCATCAACATTCACTTTCAACCAACCTGTAGGACACCAATATGAAGGAGAAAACAATCCAAAGGATTGAGAAGTGTCCCATTGCTCCAAGTGGTAAGAAGGAGAATCTTGATTGATCCCTTCCAAGATAAGTCCAGCCAAAAACGTAGAAGAGCTCCGATCCTTCCCATGTTTTACAGCATTTCTGTTTATCCAACTATAATAAACAGCATTGCAATAAATCATCACCCCCATCTTCTTATCCTTGGCATTAGCCTCCAAGGCTTCAAACAATTGCAGTAGGCACACAAACCTTGGGATAACAAATCCCCAACCTTTTAGGACATCCAGAATTTTATGTAGTTGATCACATCCTGTAGTAACATGATCCAAGTCTTCAAGCATACCACAACCTACTGGACAGTGAATATTGACCTCCAGCCCTCTAGTATAAAGCCACCCATGTGTAGGAATAATGGCTTTATAAATCCTCCACCAGAAAATTTTAACCAGAGGTTTCAAACCCACATTCAAGATATTACAACATATATCATTATCATACAGAAAAATTCTATTATAAATAGTTGAAGAGATGGTATTACCCATAGGATTCTTCACAAGCTCTAGTGAATCAGCATTCATCTCCTTATCAATTTGAATTTCCAAAATTCTTTCAACCAGCAGCTCCCCAAAACAAGACAACAGCTGTTATCCACCGTGAAAAAGTCTGCTACCCGTGCATCTTCAACTGCTGTAATATCACAAAACGTAGGCCATGAAGAAATGGCCCTATCCCAAATCCATGTATTATCCAAAACATGAATATCACAGCCATTACCAATATTCCACCGTAAACAGGGTCCAAGGCAGTTAGCTCCATCCATGATAACTTTCCAGCTGACCGAATCCCCTCTTTTACCTTCATACTCCCACGGCCATCTACCATATTTATTAACCATACATTTCTGAAGTATATTTGAAGGCTTACTAATATACTCCCAGGCAATTCTTGCACGCAAGGGTCCAACTTATCACTAGTATGGAAGCCCAATCCACCCTTCCTCCTTGGTCTGGAAATATTCTCCCATGAAGCATAATGAATGCTTCTGTGTTATGCATCAACAT